TAGATACTTGATGTGCATGGATACTTGAGTGTGCATGAGGCAAGGGTGTAAAAAGGAGTCCAGTGTCTCCTCATTCTCTAGCTTTCCATTTCCATGACAGGCCGGCAACTTGACCTCCGTATGGCACCTCTTCCGTTGTCGTCTTCGCTCAGCTTTCAGTGCCTCAGTCCAAGCCCCAGCCATCTATAACGGGACCATTGTGTTTTTGCTGCTCCCCCAAAGCCTCTTTACCCACAACTGACTACCATATATATATGATCCTTGTTGTCCCTTCCTTGTCAGCCTTCCAGAAGCTCCTTACCAGTGAAGCAGAGTGAACTCTGAGCTCCTCAGGGTTTAGCTGAGCATGCTCGAGACCGTTCCCAATGGGCACCTGCCTAACCCAACAGCCTCAGCTCTCTCCCACATTTCTGTCCCTGTTGGTCTTCTGCCCCACAAAAGACCTGCAGTTTCAAGGACTCCCTGTGCCCCCCCTTGCTTTCTGGCCTGGGCTCACTCCCTCAACTTAAAGCAATGATAAATCCTGAACTGACCCATCAGTGGCCCTCCAGGTGGTGGCCGCTCCAGCCATGGCTGGTTTACAGAGCTCTCTGGGGACCACAATCTGGCCGTCTTGAGGCTGCTTTGCATAGCAAGCGTTCTGTTTTTTATTTAGATGCTATGCAAAAAACAATAAAAATGGAAGCACTTCCCGTAGAGACATAATTTGCAGATTCACTTTTGAAATAGAGAAAATGTCAGTTCTCTACACTAAAACCTAGAAATTCTTTCACTGTGATGGCTTGGAGGAGGGACACAAATGGAAGGGGCCCTGGAGCATGTACCACCTCTTCTCCTGGAATCTGTCCCCTCCAAGCCCCTGCCTGATTCTGACAGGGCCGTAGAGTCCTCTGGGTGGACTTTGAGCACAGCCAAAAAAGTCAATCTTCCGTTCTCTTGTCAGATGGGGTACAATTGTATAACTTACATTTTTATGTAAGAAGAAAGACCCATTTACCAGTAACTTCTTAAATTATTAATAACTACTAAAATATGATGTTCTTAAACTAAAATTATTAGGCTCCTAGAGTTTGCTGCAAACTCCAAATCATACTCCGCCAGAAAGTCTAGACACTGCAGCTCCTGGCCACATCACTGGCATCACGCCTCCCAGAAGAGTAGATTCCTGCAACTGGAAGAAAAGCTGCTGGTCTGGGTGGACAAGGTCATGACTGCTTAGCTGTTGGGATACTTGATTATTTATTTATTTATTTATTTATTTTGTGTTTTTGAAGCAGGGTCTCCCTGTAGCCCCAGCTGTCCTGGAACTCACTATGTAGATTAGGCGGGCCTTGAACTCACAGAGATCCGCCTGCCTCTGCCTCCCAAGTGCTGGGACTACAGCCGTGTGCCACCACGCCCAGCTTTGATTATTTTTTAAAGAACAAACTTTACTATGAGTCTGATATGCACAGGGGTATGAGATGTGAAGAGAGTTAAGGTGACTGACCTTTCATTGAACTTATAAAGAGATAGGGGCTTAGGCTTCTGGAGTGAAAGGGGTGCAGGCTGAGGAAGATTTCAGGGGTAGATGTGCACAGCAAGCAAGGATTGGCTTGTAGTATTTATGTATTATGACTGACTTTTTAAAATGACTATCTTTATTAAATTTATTATGGAGCATCTGTGGTATATGCACACATGGCAGGCAGTTAGCTGTGCAGAGTCATGCTGATGCATGTGGTTCTCTTGATGTGATCGCTTATCATGTCACTGCTGCTCACAGATTAATCTTGAGTCTGATTTTTTTTGTTTTTGGTCTTTTTGAGACAGGGTCTCCCTGTAACCCCAGCTGTCCTGAAACTCACTATGTAGACCAGGCTGGCCTTGAACTCACAGAAATCTGCCTGCCTCTGCCTCCCAAAATACATGTATTTGTGAGGCTGGAGAGATGGCTCAGTGGTTAAGAGCACTGACTGCTCTTGCAGAGGACCTGGGTTTGATTCCCAGCACCCACATGGTGGTTATGAACCATCCTTAACTCCAGTTCCAGGGGAATCTGAAGCCCTCTTCTGATCTCCGTGGCATTGCATGACACGGGTGTACTCACATACATGCAGGCAATACACTCAAATACATAAAATAAAAATAATAAGTAAAATATTAAAAAAAGAGAAATACATGTATTTGTTAGGAAAAGGAGGAAGAGGAGGAAGAAACTTATCTTGACAAGTTTTGGAGATACTGATCCTCCCACATTGCCAGTGGCATTATGCTTGGATTAAAAAAATGTTTTTTGAAAGCAAATGGTAATACATTAAAAAAAATGTTTCTGTCCATTGACTCAATACTATTTCTCAAAATCCACCTTAAAAATAATCCAAAGAGCCAGGCGTGGTGGCGCATGCCTGTAGTCTCAGCACTTGGGAGGTAGAGGCAGGTGGATCTCTGTGAGTTCAAGGCCAGCCTGGTCTACATAGTGAGTTCCAGGACAGCTGGGGCCACAGGGAGACCCTGCTTCAAAAAAACCAAAAAAAAAAAAAAAAAATCCAAAGAAAGGGGCTGGAGAGATGGCTCAGCAGAGAAGAACACTGATTGTTTTTACAGAAGACCCGGGTTCAATTCCCAGCACCCACATAGCAGCTAACTGTCCGTAACTCCAGTTCCAGGGGCTCTGACAGGCTCTCTGTCCTCCACAGGCATTGCACAACACGGGTACACTTACCTACATGCAGGCAATACACATAAAATAAAATATAGAAAAAATCCAAAGAAAATAAAACTTAACTGCGTAAATATGTTCCCCTCTGTATAAACAGGGAACAACTTAGAAGTCAAATCATGGGGCATTGAAAGGTTACACTACTGCTTAATGGGGCAGGATGTAGCAATACAGAAAATGTCATGTGAACATTATGGGGAAGCAGTGTTGTTTTGGTTTTATTTGGGAGATCATTTAAAACAGAATAAATAAATAAATAAATTAATTAATTAATAAAACAAACCAGAATATCCGTTGTTTCTACACCAAAGCAATATGTTGACACAGCATTATCTGAATTTGTGCCGGCCAAAATTGGGAGAAAATGTGGCAAAACGATCCTGATTTAGTGTGTAAGAGTAAGGTCCTTGGGCTGGAGAGATGGCTCAACGGTTAAGAACACTGGTTGTTCTTGCAGAAGACCTGGGTTCAAATCTCAGCACCCACATGGCAGCTGACAACTGTCTGTAACTCCAGTCCCAGGGGATCCGACAGCCTCTTCTGACCTCCACAAGCATTGCAGGACACGGGTGCACTTACCGACATGCAGGCAATACATGCATACACATAAAAAAAATAATAAATTTTTTTAAAAAAAGTAAGGTCCTTCTCTGTTACTCAGTCTTCAGCATAAAATAAAGACATGGTGGAAGGAGAGAATCAACTCCCACAAGCTGTCGTTCTCTGACCTGCACATGAGTGAAATGTCAGGCACACACTTCCACCACCCCCAACATTTAAAAAAAAAAATGCCGGGCATGGTGGCACACGCCTTTAATCCCAGGAGGCAGAGGCAGGCGAATCTCTGTGAGTTCAAAGCCAACCTGGTCTACATAATGAGCTCCAGGCCAGCTGGGGCTACAGGGAGACTCTTTCTCAAAAAGACTAAAATAGCTAAATAAGTAAATAATGAATGAATAAATAAAACTTGAGCATCACTTCTGCAGTCAAATGCTCTGCCCCTGAGCATTTCAAAGACATGCACTGCAAAGGATATTACTTCAGCAAAGAGCTCTGGTCTTTGCTCCCAACAAGCTTGTCTTCTAATGTTTCTGAGATGCTCTGTGAGCTGTCTGCCCCAAGCAGATCGCTCAGCTTTGCAATATGTTTATATCCTAGAATTTCCACAACTCAGAAGTCCTTCTGGGGGTCCAATCAAATTGCCTCTTGCCGTTGCTTATTCTTTCTTGTTTGTTTGGTTCTAACAAGAGGGGGGTGCTCTGACCCTGCCACTCCATGACTCTCTGGTGATAATGCCGGTGGGGCACACCTGCACCCAATGAGAGCAGTGTCACTTGTGTTTCTAGTTCTTGAATGTGTTTGCATCAGAGCAAGACACGAGTCTCTGTGCTCTGCAGGCTTAGCGATGCCTGCTTTCTTTTCTCTTTCTTTCTTTTTATAGATGGGAATCGTGCTGTGTTGCCCAGGCTGGTCTAGAGTTTCTAGGCTCAGTGACCTTCCCACCCAGGCTCCTGGGTGCCAGTGCAGGGGTGAGGCCACGGCACCTGGCGCACTGCCTCCTTCAGTGCCTCTTCAGGAGTATACACATACATGTCCTCAAGTTGATCCTGGGACAAACTTAGGTGTAAGGCCAGGTACAGGAGCGGCTTTAAGAACAAGTGCATACGCAGTAGAATTAGAAATGGAAAAGCTGAGCCCAGGCCTCCGTCAAAATTAATTTTCCAGATGTCCAGAGCAGATGGTTCAATCAAGACCTCATGCCAGCCTAACACATCTTAATCCTGAGGCCTCTGAAGGCTGGTGCCTTACAAATCCCGGAACACCAGAAATACTGTGACAAATATTCCAAGAGTGGAGGTTTTCCAGTTCTTTCATCCAAGAGCCCCAAGATGTAACCTAAGTTCACCCAGCCAGTGCTTTGCCTCACCCCAGCATGGTATAGCTAGGGTCCTCTCACATATCAAATGCCAAATCTTGTCATCAGTATGCAGACAGTGATAATCCCTTACAGTTTACACATCTCATTCCCAACTGTCAACCTAAGAGGTAAACTTCATCACCCCTAACACACACATACACACACCAGGAAACAACAGTCCAGAGAAGTGAAGCCATTCCTGAGGTCACACAGCCTGTAGATTTCTCCAACACCACCCAGCAGTGCACCACGGCCTCAGGCTATGATCCCTCAGCCCACACTCATGAGGTCCCTCACTTGGCCACATGCTTGTACCAACACTGGCAGATGACTCTGGTGGAAGAAGCCAGACATCGTCCCTAGGAAAGCCAAAACACTTACTTGGACCTCCAGGGTGTCCGGTGCAAGCAGCTGAGGAGACCGCAGTGGACTGAAGGCTGTGCTTAAACACAGCTGCTCGCCCACGTTCCTCACTCATCCTTAGAGGCGGCAAGCGCCAGCCTGACCACACTTCCTCTTTCTGGTCAACCCACAGCAGCCATTCCCCCTTCCAGGGAAGCTGACTACCCGAGGCTTTCTCAGATCTTCTGGAATCATCTCACTGCCCATTGTTCTTCCAGCAGAGGCCCACCAGAGGCCCATCCCCGAGTGGAGGGGTCCTGGAAGGGGTCAGGATCCAGGGTGAATGGAGATTCTGCAGGGAGTCGGTGAGGGGTGTCCCCAGGGGAAGTCTTCCCTGAGCATTTCTGGACATGGCCATGTGGGACTCAAGAGAGACAGGATCCTGAGTCTACACTGAGATGCACTGGACAAGATGAGTGACAAACACACCATCACAGGAGTGGGAGCCCTGGAACTTCAGGCCCAATTTCTGCTAGGGAAAGAGTATGTGATGGGATGTATCAAGAGTGCAGCCCAGAGTAGCCTCAGACTTGTGATCCTCCTACCTCTGTCTCCTAAGTGTTGAGATTAGAGGTGCGTGCCACCACACCTGGCCAGTGGACCATTTTGACTAACTCCCTACAGCATTGTGAGATAGAATTTCCAGTGAGGCTTGTAGCCTCTGAAAACGGAAACTTGGGGTGGGGAAACAAAGTCACTATTTTGCAGAAGTAGCATGCTTGTGACTGAGCTGTGACATCAGTACAGATGTGTGAGGGTGGGGGCGTGATGGCAGTGGGAGGTGTCTACCTCCAGGGAGTGAGGTGTTCTCACTTTCAGGAATAATGCTGATAACGTGAGGAGCATGGTGAATCTTTAACAACCTGCTCCAAAGATTCCTGGTGTGTAGTATTTGCTAGTTATGGTGTAAATACTCCAACCATGGCCAATTAAAAAATATCAGTGTGACATCAATGGACTTGGAAATGGGAGGAAAGTGCACACAGTCAGCTCTCCCAAATCTTTCTGAGTTAATCCCAGCATACCTCTGCGTTGTTAAAGGTCAGGGGTAGGGGGACTTTCAGATCAGTGTTTCACATTTCTTATCTGACTTTTATTTAATTGGATGATTGCCTCCTTTTCAAAGGTGAGAACACCTAAGCTCAGGGAGGTTACATCACAAAATCAGCTTTACATAGCTGGGGAGATGACTTTCAGCCCTGGCCTGTCCATGTGCAAAGCTTATGCTTTTCTTTCTTAGTCTCATCTGAAGTTTAGATGCTCAAAAACTGTCCTAAGCTAGGCATGGTGTTGCACACCTGTAATCCCAGCAATGGGGAGGCAGAGGCAGGAGGATCGCTGCTAGTTCAATGCTAGCAAGGGCTACACGATGAGACCCTGTCTGAAAACAACCAAATAAACAAATCTTCCTAAAAGTGAATTTAAAATTATCCTCTGAGGGGCTGGAGAGATGGCTAAGGGCACTAGTTGCTCTTGCAGGGGACCCGGGTTTGGTTCCCAGCACCCACATGGTGCCCAACAACCATCTAGAACTCCAGTTCCAGAGGAATCCAGTGCCCTCTTCTGGCCTCTGTGGGTATTGCATGCACAGGCACACTAAAATACAGATAACATACTCATACACATAAAATAATAAATAGCCATCTGAGAAGCGGGTAGGCATCTGTGGCCATAGTTTATGCTAAGCTTGCAGAGTTCTGATCTTTGGTTTGTGTTCCATTCATTCATCCAGTGGTTTTTGCTAACCTTTTGGGGGTCCCCAATTCAGCTATGACATTGAAAACTATAGATAAACTGTTTCCAACAGTAAGTAACAAGTTCAAGCCTGAGGAGCCAGAAGATCAAACTTCCAGACCCAAATGGTCAGCAATTTCCATGTAAACCCTTCCTTTCTACTTTGGTTATATTATTTGTAAAATCAAAGTTTTCGATAGATAAAAAGTAAGGTACTCTAGGGATTCTGGTGAGATTTCTCTTCTGTCTTTCCACCTTGGTTTTTGACAAATGAAAATTGTATATATTTAAGATATACAGTCAGGTGTGGTGGCACACATCTTTAATCCCAGGACTTGGGAGGCAGAGGCAGGTGGATCTCTATGAGTTCAAGGCCAGCCTGATCTACATAGTGTGTTCCAGGCCAGCTGGGGCTATAGGGAGACCCTGTCTCAAAAGGACAAAAAAAAAAAAAGATATACAATGTGATGGTTTGGCTAACCTACGCACTGTGAGATGATTATATAATCAAGCTAATATATATCACCCGACATAGGGGTCATTTTAAAAGATTGTGTGTGTGTGTGTGTGTGTGTGTGTGTGTGTGTGTGTGTGTACATGTGCACCATGGCATGCATATGGAGGTCAGAGGACAGTGTTTGGAAGCCAGTTTTCTCCTAGCATGTGAGGCCAGGGGATTGAATTCAGGTTGTCAGTCTTGACAGCAAAAAC